AATAAAATGCTACATAAGTCCCTTCCCAGAATACAGATATAAGAGGGAATATCTGTGTTCGATATAAAATATTATGAGAAAGGTAAATTCATTTTGAAGATATTAAAAACATAGAAGGAATGTTAAGGATATCTATTATCAGGATGAAAACTGATTGGAAGAGTGTTTACATAAAAATGAAGTGTATGACATTCGAAACACTAAAATAACTTTACCAAAGTAATAATATATCCGGAGATAAAAAAATTAACAACCAAAATCGTATTACCTGGAACATTGTTAAGAAATAAGAAATTCGGAAGTCCGTGGTGCCCGGAAAAAAATTTCTGTTTTGTGTATGCGGAAAAGTCTGACAAAATCGTGTGGTCATGTTTTCAACAAGGTAATGAGCAAAAACGATAATAATGTTACTAGGGAATTGGTTTTATGAAATGTAAATTGTCTGAAAGTAACGTCGTGGCCAACGGACTCTTCTTCCGGATCTCGTGGTTCTGCTACCGTCGCTATTATTGGGTGATTCCGATGCCGTTGTTTCTGTTTTGACGGTGGTTTTCGGTGTTTCCGGTTGCTTCACTGCGGGTTCAGACTTGGTATCCGTGACATCTGGTTCCATAAACGCTGGTTTGATTCTATCAATGCTGACCGTTTCTCGTCTACCCGAGCGTTCGACCGTGACAACTTTGTCTGATTTACTAATTACCTTGAAAGGTCCTTCATACGGGGGCTGTAAGGGTTTTCGTACGCCGTCGTGTCGGACGAAAACGTGAGTGCAGTTTGAGATGCACTGAGGTACGTAAACTTGGTTGTCTCGGTATCGTGGGGACTGAGGTCGAAGTGTGCTCATGTGTCGCCGTAGTTGTTGTACATAGTTAGTCAAGTCCGGTGGAACGTCTGTTGCCGGGTTAAAATACTCTCCTGGCAATCTTAAAGTAGTTCCATAAACTAACTCAGCAGTACAGCAGCCAATGTCCTGCTTGACACTCGAACGTATACCAAGGAGTACTAGTGGTAATTTGTCACTCCACTTGTCATCAGTCTTTACTGCCATCAGTGCTGCTTTTAGTTGTCGATGGAACCTTTCGACAATACCATTGGATGCAGGATGGTACGCAGTGGTTCTTATGCGCTTGATCCCGAGAAGTTCAGTTAACTGTTGAAATAGACTACTCTCGAACTGCGCACCTCTATCTGTGGTGATGACACTTGGGACACCAAAGTTAGAAATCCAGTGTTGGATGATATTTCTCGCTACTGTTTCGGCAGATATATCCTGCAGAGGTATTGCCACTGGCCATCTCGTGAATCGGTCTACACATGTTAAAATGTAGCTAAAACCATTTGACGGAGGTAGTGGTCCAACGATGTCAACGTGTATATGGTCAAATCTGCCATCCGGTGGGAAAATCTTCCCGTAGGTGAAAGAATATGTCTTTGCACTTTCGATCGCTGGCACGCTAAACAAGCTCTGGACCACTGTCGAAGATCTCGATTCATCTTTGGCCAGACGTATCGGTCAGTAATTAACTTCACCGTAGCTCGAATACCAGGATGTGAAATGCCATGCATCTTAGAGAAGACTAATCGTCTCATTGAAAAGGCACAAACGGGCGCGGTTTACCCTTGGATACATCACGGTGATGGATACAGAGTCATCAAGTGTCACTTCTTCAAGACGTAATGAGGTGTTCACATTGTTTTTCAAATGTTTCAAGTCCTCATCCGCGGCCTGCAACTTTGCCATTTCTGCTAGGTCAATACGGTCACGTTCTAAGACGTTTACGTACATACGAGACAAAGCATCAGCTGCCTCATTTTTGCTGCCTTTGATATACCTTATATCTGAAGTGAATTGTGAAATAAATTCTAAATGTCGAATTTCTCGGGGCGAGTAGTTGTCATGCTTTGCATCAATTGCTTTTGTGAGTGGCTTATGGTCGGTGAATACTATAAATGAGTACCCTTCGAGCATATATCTGAAGTGCTTGATAGCCAAGTAAATCGCCAGTAGCTCTCTGCCGAATGTACTGTATCGCGATTGAGAAGCATTAAGTCGTTTCGAGAAGATAATGGTTCCCACTGACCGTGAACAAACTGTTGTAGTACTGCGCCTACCGCAACATTTGAAGCGTCTGTCATGATGGCTAGTGGTGCTTCTGAATCACGACGAGAGAGAAGAGTTTCAGAACTTAGAGCCAGCTTCAGTTTGTCAAAAGCATCATGGGCCGCTTGGGTCATGTGAAACACTTTGGCTCGTCCTTGCAATAAATCTGTCAGCGGTTGGGCTACTTCAGCACATTTAGGTATGAAACGTCGATAGAAGTTTATTAACCCCAGAAATCTTCGCAGCTTTCGAAACGAGTCTGGAACAGGATATTCTCGAATTGCATCTACTTCTTGCGGAACCGGTTTAACACCGTTTTTCCCAAAAACTGTAGGGATTCCTTGCCAAATTCGCATTTCTGCGGATTGATTGTAATGCCATATTCACGCAGTCGTTCGAAAAGCGTCCTCAGATGTTGCAGGTGCTCTGTTTCAGATGCGCTAGCTACTATTAAGTCATCTATGTATGCACTGACGAAAGGTAAGCCATGGAGTACCTGATCTATAAATCTTTGGAATGTTTGAGCAGCATTTGTCAAACCAAACGGCATACGAATAAATTCGAATAGTCCGAAGGGAGTAGTGATGGCCGTCTTAGGAACATCATTGGGTTCCACAGGAATGTGATAGTAAGCTCGCACGAGGTCAATCTTGGAAAAATATTTACTTTTGTCATAGAGTTCATAAAATCATGTATGTGAGGAATTGGATACTTATCAGGGACCGTACGCTTATTCAACGCTCGATAATCACCGCAAGGCCGTATTTCCCCTGATGCTTTTTTAGGTACCATATGCAGGGGTGATGACCATGGGCTCTTGGAAGGGCGTATAACTCCCAACTTTAGAAGTTTATCAAATTCCTGTTTTGCTATCTGCAGCTTTTTAGGGTCTAAGCGTCGAGGTTTTGATGAGACTGGAGGACCTTTTGTAAGAATATGGTGCGTCACCGTGTGTTTTGGAGAGGACTTCGTGTAATCCGTTTGAGTGAGCTCGGGAAATTCTCGCAGAAGGATATCGTACTCGGAAGTGTTGTTTATTGGAGCTACGACTAAGTTTATTGTTTTTGTCTCCGTAGCGATACCGGTGATAGAAAATTCACCATTACGGCTGACTAGTCTATGGCGACTAGAGTCGACCAATAGTTCGTAGTGTTGAAGGAAATCCATGCCAATGATAGGCGACGATATGTCAGCTATGACGAATTCCCACTGGAATGGTGTATGAAAGCCAATGTCTAGGATCAAAATTCTGGTCCCATATGTAGTAATAGCAGATCTATTTGCCGCTTGTAGTACCAAAGTTGGGTTGGGATGGCGTTTTTCGGAAGGTGTGGGTGGGATCACGCTCACTTCCGCTCCAGTGTCAACCAGAAACTGAGCTCCAGTCTTCCTATCCGTCACTCGAAACAAACGACTGTGTTGTTGTACGCCGGCGACAGCAGTCGTCACTGATCGCCGCCTTTCCGTTTCCCGATGAAAAGGTTTTAAAATCGCATGGTAACAAACAACGACGTGCTTTACTGCCAAACTTCTTGTGATACCAGCACGTTCTACTTTTAGACGCAATTCTACTCGTGGTCCTATCACGACTACGGGATCTGCTTCTACAGAACTTCGGTGACCGGTTTAACTGCAAAGCCGTCAGTTGTCCTGTAAGTATGTCTATCTTCCTCTCTAAAGCGGCCACTCGGTCGTTTTGCGTTGGCTCAGCAATACTTTCAACCGGTTTAGGCATCCTTTCGTACATACGGTCAGCGATGTCAGCCAACCTGTCAATGTCAATGTCCGCATCTCCGACAGCTAATATCTGCTGAATGCATGAAGGAAGTCTCCGCAGCCAGAGCTGGTAGAATAAACGGTTGTCTACTTTCCTATCTTTCAGCAGACTTTGCATATGTCGCTTAAGTTGTGAAGGTGTTCTGTCACCGAGGCATATGCTACTTAGTAGTTGATCGACAGCCTTCTGGTCAGATAACGAAGTAGCTTTCAGCACCTCCTGCTTCAAAACATCATAAGGTGTGTCTGGGTGGGGCTTTAGTAGTGTCTCCCTTACTTGTTCAGCCACTTCTTCCGGCAAAACAGAGCTTGTGTATCCGAACTTTGTGTTTTGTGAAGTTATATGATTGGCCATGAAGAAATGTTCTAGACGGACAAACCACAATTGCGGGTCATTAAACTTAAAACAAGGCATAGGAAGATTAATGGCACCCACGGACCCTAAATTCGAAAAGTCTTGATTATGAGAGTTTAAGGACATCAGTACTGGTACAGCAAAAAAAATATTTAAGAACAAGAGCAGGAAAAATACGATAAACAAGTATATCAATGCCTACCACAAAGCAGCCAAAGAAATTCTCACTATAACTGTATATCCATACAGTCATTAATGACCGGTTGCAGTATTCAACTGAAAACAGTAATAATATCCACCCGTGAAACTTGCGAGAGTTTAATCACGTCGGGCTAACCAGTTTGTCGAGCTCTGAAATCTGACTCCAAATTTTATATACGTGTTCACATACACTATCGCCTATTTATAATTCCCGACACTGCTGATCCACCTGCGTCAGACAGCCTAAATATCAGGAGTTAACGCGAAGTATATATCAGGATGTTGTATTAGTCAACGAGCGAGCAAAAAAAGTCTTTTTCAGTACAACTAAACAAAAAAGTGTTCAATGAGTTGTTACATACATCAACACAATACAGTGAAATAAATTGCTAGCAGATATGCTCATTCAGTCATATTTCTATTAAGAACGGCGGTTTGTTGTGGCAGAGTTGATATACACCTTTTGATTACGTGTTTTAAAAGTCAGAGCTTGAGAGAAACTGTTCAGTAGGTTGTGGCTTTTGTTGCATTGGTTAGGCATTGACCAAGCAGTTGCGGGCGTTGGAAATGTCTGACTTGGGTCGCCTTATTGGGGAGATAGGTAATTTCTAAGGTTCTGCTGTAAACCTTCAAGGCGTTGAGGTCAAGGAGCTCACAAACCAACTTGAACTTGAGAAAAACAATATATCAGGTATCGTCTGTTGCTGTGATTACATATTTTCAGGTCTTCAACAAAAACTGCTATCACTAACTCGTGAAGCCGAATCTCAAAAGCAAGCTAAGCAGCAGTTGGAAGAAGAGTTAAAAGGCTTAGAAAGTCTTTATTTCGAACCGGATGTGCAGTGTAGTAGGTAGGACTATGAATCAGAAATTCCATCATCCATCCATTGAAAATTCCAGTTCTGACGTAAGTGAGGGCATAAGAGAACAGATTAAATGTCTGGACTCAGTTTTAAATGAAATCAAGTCCTGCAACGAGCGTATCAGGTGCGTCAAATGCTACTGAATTTTCTAAATGATGTATTGTGGCTAATACTGCTGGTAATGTGGGTGTTAGGCCAGATTCACCAGATAAGCTTGACAAAGTCTGCGTAGTAGTGACTATGTAGATGGGTTAGTTTCCGGTGTTATTGGTAATAAACCAAGCAGTATGTGCTTATCTTTGTGGTAGGCATCTCTGGGAATTGTCCCCCGATAGCTGATACTATCGTAACAAGTTTTAGTAATTGACCACTCAGAAGATCTGGGTTCCAGTCGTAGTCTGTTTGATTGCAGTTTCTTAAGCTTTTCACAATAACGTGCTGTATAATCAGTCTTAGAAGTGAAGATATTTTAGGAATAAATCTCTGAGTCTTAATTGAAGATTCCATACTCCAGAACTAGGTCACCCCGTTTTCTAGCTATATGATGATAGAAAAAGGTTTGAATTTTCTAACTGCTTTTTTTAACGGTAAGTGAGGAAGTCTTGTCACTAACATAGTACCTAACTATTTTCTATAGAGACTACTTCCTTAAATCCGAAATTAGCTCCCCGTATACATTATTTACAGCGAGGTCCTATTTAAGTAAGTTATGGTATCTTGAATACATCTTAATCAAGGCACTCAAAAGCCCTGAGAATTGACTTCAGCATGTGGCATGCCAATACTGCAACTGTCACAATGTGCTGTTATTTTCAGCGTATTGCTAATAGTAACTTCTAGTTCCTTTAATTCACTGCTTCAAGACAGTGTTGATCCATGCTGAGTAGTGATACTTTTGGCTTCCATGCAATACTGTACTCTTGTTGGAGGTGATCTCCGGTGTTTAGATCATTCGGTCAGCTCACCTACATCAGTGTAAAGCGCTAGTCTATCTTTGGTGTCATGATTAACCCTCCAGACCTTAACACCGTCTGCAAATAGCAAGGGCGATAACTTCAATATACCAGTAGAAATAACAGTGGTCCTAGTATAGCACCTTGAAGAGTCGTACTAGTAACTGTTTCCCATTCAAGGGGTGTCCCGTTCACTCTGATTATCCCTTCTATAGTGGAACTTGTTCTTGTGCCATTTTTATGTTAACATCTGTACTGAAACTATCGTCTTTCAACAAACCGGAATGATACACCTTACTGAATCCCTTGAGTTATTAAGCTCCACGCCATTGATTAGTTCATTTGCTCGTGTTCCCGGTCGTTCTTCTGTAGCCAAAAATGAACCCGCCAGAAATAAGCTGCGGGAATGGAAACCATGTTTTTCATGCACCATAAGTCATGTGTTTTCACATACTTCGATAGTATATTCCTAACTATTTTTCCCGTGGCCTTTACAGTAATACGAATTAAGCTTACAAGATAAGTTGGCAAATAGTTGCCTATTGCAGTCCACGAAAATAGGATAAAACAGCGTCTTTCCCATACTCTATGTAGTCGAGTCTGGGAAAAAATATCCCTGTAAGCGGTCTATGAATGGTGTCAGCTAAAGCTAGTAATGACGAGCACTTCATTGGAACTTGGCAACTTTCCAGGCTTCGGCTTAATGAGCAATTCCAACACTGTTTTCCTATTCATCGTGATAAATGCTATTTGGGCGGGTACTCATTGTAATAGGTTTAATATAGACATATGAAACCCCACCGAAGTAACTCTATAGCTTCCTGGTTTTGTCTGTACCGGGTTCTGAGGTCTGATAAGAGAGTATGGTCTGATAGTAATGCACCAGTTGTCTTTCCTAATAACAGTCTTTCAAACTTTTCGGTACTGGAAGTTCACCAAATCACTATCTGTAAACATAGATTCCAGTAACGCTTCCTACTTTTTATTGGACTGTGGGTCTGATTCTATATCCATAAAGGTCTGTGGGTAGGTGTTTGGTGTCGATTAATGAGTGTAAGGAGAAATGACGCTTTCGAACAATGGGATTTCTCCCAAGCTTTCTAACTCTTCAGTTTACATTCACCGAACAGTCTGCTGAAGTTATGATGTCTCTGACTACTAACACGTCTGCTCACCAAATATAAGGTCAAGAGGGGTTCGATTTATAAAACAGGTAGAACATTCTGAGTCTAACAGCAGTAACTACGTAACCACTAGTTGTCAGCAATTAGATGTGTGGGGGTCATTTATCTCCTTAATGGTGTGTCTTAAACTAAATGCAATAGAGGAAGTTCATGCTGTGAGTCAAAGCGAGTTGATACATTTTGTGGAAAGTCACACTCTAGATCCTTATCAAGACTGTTTCTGTGAACTTTTACTCAGTATTGTAAGCATTCAAGTCTTCGACTTGTAGACATCTATTCCAAGCGTTCCACATACGCTGATAGTTTAAAACTAAGTCATGGACTAGGCAGCTGAGACTACAGTATATGACCTCGATTATCATGGTGCCTTACCTCTTTAACTTCGCAAACCTCTACTTAAGGAGTGCCTCTAACACTGTTGAACATACTCATATCCTTTTCTGATTGCTTTTGATGTACCTATTGGTCATTGGGTAGACATAAGTGGTATAAAGTAATCATATTTCCATGATTGCTATCACGTCAAGTTTTGAGTCCACGGCTAATTCTCCAAACTCGGGCAATTTGTTTTCAGTTTGTGGAAATTAGTCTAGCTTGCTGTTACTTCACTTGATTCTTCATCTGACATAAAAACAATGGGCTTGGCAACATTAATTGACAAAAATCGAAATGGACTAGGCAACCTCTTGTACGTTCGTGTAATTAGCAGTGAGCCACTTGTGTGATTGTACCTGGCTGTTTGGACCTCAGTAGATGCGGCTGGGTTCGAACCCGCGACCCACTGATTAAAAGTAGTGATCTATCGAAACCTTACCCAGCGAAAACACAGTATCTATAGGTTTTCTTTTTAGCCAGACTCAGTTCCATTAGCCTCCGTTTTCTTAGACCCATAATCCAGAGTCCAATCTATTCGAATTTTTATTATCTTTTCCTATACGATGTTTGCACTGTCTAGACAAGATTTGTGTTCTTAGATTTACTAAGACTACCCTAACCACTACTACCTTCCTTCCTATAACTAATAATGATTTTGAAATGCATGCCACTTGAAGTCTCCGAAATGTACTGTTGGATTACCGATACCAGAGTGCAAACATTTCTTTTCGTAAGGTTTCAATATTTTAACTTCCTCATATTCCAACCTATGATGCTGTGTACAAAATGTCCATTTTTAGATACTACTCTAAGCCTTTGACTGCTTTTGACCCGCTATGAATCCTTATTTCGCAAGGACATTATTAGTCGTTAATTTTGTTTACTACCTCAATCCATAGAGATTGGGATTCTCCTCGAAGGTTTAGAACAATGAAAACGTGAAGGTTAAGTGTTTATCAGGTCAGTAGATCCTTTTAAGCGATAATCAGATGTCTGAAAGTATATGATTTTCACGAAACTAACAAAGTTGAGAGTACATAAAAGCTGTGAGTGCATAAATTCCATTTTGATTTCTGAGTAAAAAGTAACTTACTACTGCAGACAATGGAGTCAGGTGGTAAATATGAACAGATGTCACTCCATAGGAATTGGATTTTATGCTTTCTAGTTCCCCTGTGAATGACGATCAATATTGTTGGCGTCGTAATTTCAGTGAGTTTCCATATTATTTTCGTATATGCTGAATAGGACTTTCTGTTTTGTGCAGGATATCAGATCGCCTTACTTTCTTTGTCACCCAATGATGAAAACGGCAATATTTGTCCTTCTTTTTTGTATTCAATAAGATTTTGTGACTGCTTCAGCTTTTTTACATGGAGATTGAGACCTGAGTGCACATAAACCATGGCTGCACCATTTAAAACGATGGTCACTTTAAGAATGACAACCAGAGCTGTGGTGTAATAATGTATCGAGTATCAGTAGTATCAAACATGGCCACCGAATGCAGGATGAAAGTTAGTCTTGAGGAGAATAATTATAGCTACGCTATTACAGAGCGATAGAACTCAAGAAACTCAGCTCTCTGACTAGCATTTGTATTGTAGATACAGCTTAACCCTATACAAGGCTATACACCACACTAAATGAGAACTTATAATACTGCGTGGCTACTCAAGCCGGAGTTAATGGAGCTAGATTTCAACCTGCCATTTTGCTTAAAAATTAGGTTTGAAAACCCATTCTCATTTCATCATATTAACCACCAGACACTAATCATTGTATCTAGTACGTCCTGAGCGCTAATCAGAGCTTGTCGGTTAGCTTATTTGATTTATCTACCAATGAAACTGGATTTTAACTTGAAACCTATGCACTTGAACCAATGAGTCACATCTTGATCGAAGCGTGTGTCTCATAGCTTAGTGATTACTGACTTGTGGAATTAAGTTTTAGGTTATTCATCAAGTAGTTGAAGGTGTAATTTATTATTCTAAGCACTCTGTCAAAAACCAGTAGGTCATGGGCTCAAACCCACTCAACCTACTTGGCAACCAAGAGTATCATAAGCCCCCAGACATTATGTGCGGTTCACTGCCCAGTAGATGGTAAGACGTGGTCTATATTTTGTCCATTGGAATATAGTCGCATATGTCACAGGCTTTGTTACTCAAGTCGGTGGAATTTAGTGACTATTTTTGTCTCAGCTGGGTACTTACTCTCTTCAGTTATGCAGGTGCTCGCTTCACTAGTTCAGTAGTATTTTGACACAACTATTACTATACCAACTTTATGAGTATCCTCTTTACATTAGAAAAGAACGGACTGACTTAATTTTGGAATACAAGCAGAAGTTGGATGACTACAATCGACATATAGCCCAAAGCGAAAAACTGCATGCCTTTATAGAACTGTGGAAGGTTAAGTGTGCCGACAACTTTAGGCTGAATGGTAAGTTATCTTTTTGCTACTTCATGCTTCTTAAAGTTATTCCGGATGTGATAAAAGAAACGTAAGTTCAATACGCTTGATTTACCGCGTCCAACAGTGCCAAAGAGATATCTAGTTGTTATGAGTCACCTCTTCAGCAGATATTAGAAAACGCACTAAATGTACCTACAGTTAGTTATATTGTTTCACATTTATACTGATAGTTAGAGACTGAAGAAAGAGAGGACGCTGATTCGAAAATCTCACCTGTTCTAGAAGAAAACTGTGCTCCAAATATTCAAAATGATCGACAACTTCTTGATCCCATGTTTTACAATCGACTCAATTCACCAAACGATAGAAATAGTCAACTTCAGGATTGCAGTAATTTGGATACCAGCCGTTTACAAATATCTGCCCTAGATACTAATATTATGTCTTCTTTGAACAAGAAAAGTAAGTTTTGTAATGCAAAATGTGATTCGTACCTTTCTGTAAAATGCCCCTAAATAGATATTTAGGTTTTTTTGTTCTTCTTAGGAGTCAGCAACGAATCTGAGGGATTTGGTGCACTGGACATTTCGTAATCCAGCGTTTCAAAAACAAGTGCATTATTCTTATGCTGCTGTGCACTGGTAACTCCGTGGCACTTTGTCTGGTTTCAGCACTAAGAGCTTATTGCTTTGTGGTCTATGGTGATACACATAGAGTACAGTAGCTTTTCACCCTCTTCACCACCGTGTCAAAGGAATGCTTCTTAAACCCCGATGTCCTCTCATCGTCACTTAAGTTTTCCACACTTCAACTGCAATGTCAGAAAAAAGTAAAGGGAATGAATGAAATATGATGAAAGTTGTTCAAGAGAAAATGGTCTATCATTGTCGCTACGTCACCGACACTCAATCCTAAAACTTCCAAACGCTCGGAAATACGAACCAGTTTAGGTCCCCTCGACATAACACGGGTGGGAACATGACCTTGTGGATCTAAACACCAAGCCTTCAAGGACTGGGTTTCCATTCGAGCCCGCTCTGACTATTTCGGTGTGGGTTGATGGTTAGTGTTAGCGTCCAGGTAGTTGGCTTGTAGCTTAGCCTGTATCTTATCGAGTTACACTCACTCATAAGATAACATACTAATACCTAACCACAGGACCAGGCGTGTGGATTTGACCTCATTTCCCTTTGTTTCTGTATGCTCCTATCGTGTCGGTACATGGAATCAGTGTCAAAACTAGAACAGATATCTTCGAGTCGTCCTCATTTGCATACTCACCCTTCTTTCTGGATAACGTACTTGTGAATATGTTGACAATGGTTTTTCCCGTTCATTTTTTAAACAATTAATTTTGCTTGATTGTCGTTTCCTCATCTCATCTTGATGAAGTAGCACCATCAGTAGATTTTATCGACATAAATATATAAAAAAAACCCTAGTTTTTCTTCTATTTAAGTGTATTAATGGTAGCGGATGGCGTTAACATACAAGTAGGAAGATTAGGTTGTGCTAAACAGTATCCAGGTAGTAGTTGTGTACTGTAGTTAGTAAGCTAGTGTCTATTGACCAATAGATTCGAAAAAATCCCTGTTATTATTACTAATAAAGTTATTAGTAGCTTGTGAAGATTACATAAGGTTAGTAGACTGTGGCACATTTGTACTGGCCAAGGGCATGTAAGTGACACACAAAAAAAGACGAATAGTGCGCTACCTAAAGAAATTCCCACTCAAGTTATTCAGGAAGCTCTATCTCGCCATCGTCTTCATCTGCCAAGACTACCATCTGCATACTGTAGGACTACTAAAGAGTCTTCCATGACAAGACCAATTTCTGTAAAGTCAGACGACGAGAGGGAGATGTCCATACGTACGTCTTTGACGAAGTGTAATAGGAATGGAGAGAGTGGATATTCTTGACCAACAGCACTCCAGAATGCTATGAAATCAACGATGAAGACCTTTGCTAGCTCTCAGAGAAGGGTTAAAAAGAGTCAATAGATTTCGGCAGCTTCTGAATTAACAGACGCATGTGAACGCATTCTTGCAAACTCCGATTACGATAAGTAGCAAGTTCACCTCAAACGTAGAGTGACAAACAGTCTGCACATTGACCGCGAGCATCAATAGACAGTGAAGACTAAAGAGTTAGAAAAAGCGGTGGCAATAGGTAACAGTGGACAGTTATTTAAGGAAACGGGCAGAAAGGTCAGTGATTAGCGAGGCTATACTGGAGAATGATGTATATGCGATTTACTCACGGAGACGACTAGAACGATTGGTAGGACACTTTGAGAAGCAGTTCACCTGGCCTCCAGCTACTATTGCGTTGCCTGCTGTCGGGTTGGAGCCTGAATGAAACATCAAAATACGACTCCCAATACTTGCAGAAGTTAAGAAAGGGGTAAATAACCTGAAATGAGGGAGAGTAGCAGTGCCGGACGGACTAGTTCCTGAGGCATTTAGTAAGAACGATGGTCAGGTTTTAGTCAAGTTAACTGTATGAAAGACAGACGCGATCCCCTCTGGCTGATCCAGTCATTATCGTCCCAGTCTTCAAAAAAAGCAAATCTTCCCGTGGTAACCACGAGAATCAGCCTGACGAACATAGTGTCTGAGATTTTAAGTTCTACAATCTTGAAATGTCTGAGTTAAGCCCGGGAACATGAAAGCAAACTCAGAAGCCAGCCAAGTTTTACCTGGTCATGAGTAGTGTATTGACAAAAAATCCACACCACTAGGTTCTAGAAATCATAAATAAATTGATACCATGTTTTAGTCTGGCCGCTGCTAGCCTCTTTCCATCGTGAACCTACCACGGTCAACATAGTATGGCGAGGCAGACGGCGGTTAGGCATACTAACACATGTCTCAGACGATGAAGGTTCACAACCGCCTCAACTGTCTTACCTTTTCCCCCTAAAACTTTACGCCTAACTTCTGCGTTACTCAGACGGTGACACCACGAAACACAGCCGATGCTACGAAGGCAATGGTGGTCAAGCACCTAAAGCCTTCTCATGTCTTCTACTTTAAATGTCCATGTTTCCCAGCCATACAATAAAACAAAGCAGACTGCAGCACAGTATACTCGACCCTTAATAGACAATCGGACATCGTGACGGCGCCACAAATGGTGTGGATTGCCAGAAACCAAGCGAGCCTTTTGTATTTAAGCAGAGATTTCGTCGCCTACTAAGTCACCAGGGCTAATCCGACTTTCCAGGTAGGAGAGGTGTTCAACGCATTCAACCACTTCACTACCTATTATCGACCTAGGTATTGTTGAAGACCAGTCCTGGAGCAATAGTTTGCATTTTTGTGGCATGAAACGCATCTCAAACATTCTCAACTTGCCACTCAATGTGTACAAAAGACTTCATGTTGTCAGCATCTTCATCTAACAGGACTATGTCATCTGCGTATTCTCAGTCTACCAAGAATTCTCTTGTGATCAGGTCAATCTGTGTGTGATGAGTTGATTCAAGGGAGACCTCCATAAGAACATCTTTGACGTACACAGCTCACCCGACATCTCACCATAGGCTCTAACACTCCTACTGGTGTTAGAGTAAAGAGCCTTCACTAAGGTAATTTACTTACTTGGTACGCCTTTCAGTGATAGACATTGCCATAAGACTTCTTGATCGACGGATTTGAATGCCCCCTTCAGGTCGAGAAATACAGCTATTGTCGGGCGTTGATAAGCGTGCGTGTGTTCCAGGACCTGGCAGAGTGTGAACATTTGGTCGATATACCCACGATCATATCTGAAGCCTGTCTAGTTTTCGTGGTTTTGTTGTTCCTGAGCTCCACTCAGACGTTTAATGACTATCGAACCAGAATCTTAAACACTGTTCATCAGGCTGATTTCTCTGTGGTTATCCTAAGAGAACTCACCTTTCTTGAAGGCTGGGGTAATCAGTAATTGAGACCAGTCAGAGGGGATCATATTTGACTCCAACACTAGTTAAAACTTCAGTCGAACTGACTAAAAACACTACCTCAGAAACTTGTCAGTCTGGTTCTGCTGCCCTTCCTCATTTCAAATTGCCTACCACTTTCTCGACTTCTGCAAGTGTTAGGGGCCTATCCTAACGTTTTATCTAAAACCTGACTGGATAGTGGGCAACGCAGTAATAGCTGGAGACCAGTTGAGCCTACCCATTATTTCAGTCGTCTCTTCTGCCAGTGAATCATGGACCGATCCTTTTTCTGCTATGGTTTCACGAACCGTTGACCTTTTAATCCCCTTCTCTTGGTAGATGGAGTGATGTTTGGACCTGTGATCCACTAGCCGAAAATCAACTCCCTAATCCAACGAGCCACAGCTACACGAAGTCAGGTGCAGAGTTGTAGGAAGGAGAGTAAAGCCATTTTATGCGGTCGTGAATTGTCATCGACTGAGGTGGCTAGGACATGTGTTACGCATACCTAGTGACCGTCTACTTTGCGGTGCAATGTTAAGTGAAATATGGTCTGGGTAGAGAAAGGATCGGAGCACCCAGACTGAAACATGGGATCAGTGCATGAAGTCTTTGGCTGTTAGTATGAGTTATGTAGGGAGATGCACACTAGCCGGTTAATGTCCATGTGACAACAGAAACTGGTGGTTGAAGACTAGATAACACGGCTTAGAATAGTAAATAATTTCAATCGCTTTATTCCTGTGCTACAGTGCAGAATTCTCATCATTTAATATTTCAAGAAACTGTCCCTCTACAATATTTTTAAAGGAAATGATTATTGCACATTAGCTTCTGGTCTGGACTGGTAAGTGAATACAAAAAAGAGCGAAGTTTTGATGGTGGTAGTTTATTCAACTAGTACAAACATCTACAGTTAAACATAGATATCCTAGAAATAATGTACTGCACTTTCGTGTATTTATTAGTCTATTTCTTACCGATGTTGCGTTTTCCCTTTGTTTTTTTGTTGGCTTTAAAAACTAGCTTTAACAACGTGCGAGGGTGCATGACATGTTTAAAAGACATAATTAGATGATAGAAAAGTGCTAAAGGAGAAGAATCTGATGAAATATATTTGTTGGAAAAAGTTTTTTCTAGCCCAGTGTTTAAGCAGGCTGTCAGTAAGATTCTATGTCAGTGGGGCAGATTACCTTAATCGTTATACTGAATTCAGAATTTTCTCATTCCTCCTTTCTCTCTTTTAATACTTTATACGGCTTTTGACCGATTCTTTTTTATCTCGTCATTTTCATTGTATTGCTTAGATACCTGATCTGCTGATTTGAGGTATGGCAACTTGAACTGCTACGCAATAATGCCTGGTCCAATGTTGATATTGATAATTACTCGATAAATGCAACTCATCATAAGCTCCAATACCCCATCGAGTAACCAAACACGGATTGTTTAGCTGGGTGGTGTGATTGCCTCGCACCCATTTCAGTGGGAAACTACTTTAAAACCCATCATTCAACGGAATGGAGTACTACCTTCATGCCAAGAACTACAGCTAGGATTGGGAATTGGTGTGCCTGTGTTCTAGAATCTGCTGGAGGGTGAATATATGGTCAATACTCTAACGGCCAGGTCTGAAATGTGCTTGGCTTTTTCCAATTTGTTGTCCTTGAGCTCCACGTAGACGTTTGATCAATACAGAACCTAGGATCTCAGGCTCTGAATTTGTCAGGCCGATTCTCCTGTAGTTATCATAGAAGGAGTTCCCACTCTTCTTCGAGAGTGAAACAGTGATTGAGACCGGTTAGAGACAATCATATATAGTTCCCGTCCACTAGCTAACTCTCGTTTAATCGGGTCAGCGGTCTGCGACCTCTGGTATTAGCCCATCTGTCCACTGAGATGCACTGATCCTTTTAAAAATCAGTTTGGGTCTTTAGACCGCAAACTAGAGACGGCGCGAGGTTTTTTCCTGTATAAGTGACACTTCTGTTTTGATAACTCTCTGACCAGCTTCTTGCTGTAGACAACCTTGGTATTCTCATCGTCATACTGCGCTTGGAATGGTCTTATTGCTGTGGTTTTCTCACGTCCATTTATGTGCAGACGTAGGTATCCTCGAACCACTGCGGGTTTGCTATACACATATATTTTCTAGGAGGAGCGGCAATCTCCCACCGACACTCTCCAGTAATAACTGATAGCAGTGTGGTCTATATGTGTCTAGTGTTAATCCGAGGTCGGTGAATGCCATTTCATACTGTCTACATTTATTTCTGAAATTCTTACTGACTAAAAGTAGGTGGTTATCTCAGAACGGTTGTCGTAGGTGGTCACCATCATCCGTTCGCTCAACTGGAATTCTGAAGGGGCCACCTAAGTGCTTTATTGTCTGAATTAATCCATCTACTTGTTCATTGAAATTATCTGCTACGACAAGGTTCTGCGTTGATTTATCTGTCCCTATTCTACCTGGTCAGTGTCGGGTGAGATGCATCATTTTAGCTGAAGTGTAAACAAACCGAGGAATGACTCAAAGCGGTCAGAGAAATACTTAACATCAGTTTATGAATGTAGGTTCAAGGTGTGTAGAGTAGTACAGTCTCGTAGATTAAAGTCCATGTAAAAACCGCAATATATTGTTGGAGACTAGGTGATGTGTCTCATAATCAACCACAATGGCACAGATGCATCCACAATTTATCTTTATGCTAGCTGCTTTACTTCATTTCGTAATCGGCCTCATTCTTCGCCTTATCGTCTTACCGTTTCCTACGACTTTGAGTACATTACTTCTCTTTCTTCATCTACCTTTATCAGTTAGTGTAACTTACCATTTAGTTGTGATACAAGGGACCATGTTGATAATAATTGACTGACGTGAAGACGATTGGTTGTCGTGAAGTATTCGGAATTTCGGAAGTAACTAACTCTGAGCCGTACCAACAACTTTCAGTTTTTAACATCTGCAGCGCTAAAATTAAGTCAGAAATGCTTAGTTTTCCAAAGATATATATGTACCATTGCGATTGATTCTTTGGCTCATCACTCACTGTGGATTTAGGTAATGTTGTACACTTTGGTCATGTGCATCCCTCACTGCTCATACTGTGACAAGTTTCAATAAAATTAAGACAAACACTGATCATTCCTCTGCGTTACTTACACCATCAGTTTAGGGTGCTAAGTGCAACCTAACAAACTTTTTCGTTTTATACGGTCAGATGTACATCGGAATTTTGTGTTACTTGGTTAAGATATCATATCGGTACTAAATTATAAATTTAATAGTTGAAGACAACATAGAACTTCGGGCACGAGTGTACCGCTTCAAGTTGACACACTTCATAGTAGTATACAAATAACAGGCAAATAATGAAAAAGTGATGCCAGAGTAGACAGGTGTGTGTTGCGGAGAAAGTATTTGAAAATTAAGGTTAGCGAAAATATTCAATCTTTAGAAGATATCAAAACGTGAATACATGATCAACTGATCCCACATCTTATTCTGGCCATCCTGGACCTTATTCCAGCTACCCCTAGCGTTGCACGGCGTGGTAGACGGGTGGCGCAACACAAGTACAAGGCACCTCAATTTCTGTAAATTCACAACTTCACCTACCGGCTTTTCCAATTTGCCTAGTACCTTTAGCCTAACCTCTACACTCCTAACGTGGTGAATTCCATCATACGCGAGCTGTGCTACGAAGACACCTAGATTAAAAACCCACATTCTCTTAATATCTGCTACTTTTAATGGCCATGTCTCACAGTCGTGTAAAAGGACAACGAACTGCCCATCAGCATACTCATCCTTTAATAGGTAGTCGGATATCTCACCAATCCACGCCAGAGAAGATGCAAGTTGACAAATGCCTAACGGGCCTTCTGTACCCCAACTGAGATTTCGTTAGCCCGTCCGGGCTGATGCAACTCTTCAAGTAAGTGAAGTGGTCGATGCATTCCCCCACTTCACTCCCATATCATTAAACTGGGAGTAGCCGAAGACAAGTCTTGGAGCATCATTGTACATTTGACAGGTGTGAAACGCGTGTCCAACGTACACAGATTCCTGCTCAAGGCATTCAGAAGATCCTGCGCTTTGTCGGCGTCTTCATCCAACAGGACAGTGTCATCTGTCTACTCTAAGGCAACCAGATAACCTCCAGAAAGTAGATCAATCGTTACCCTGTAAAGTTAGAGTCGATCAGTACTTCCGTAATGAAATTAAACAGGAACGGTGACGGTGAACATTACTGGCGGACACCAGTAATTGTCATCACTTCAGATGACAATTCTCCTTAAGCCGTTATACGGCTGCATGAGTTTGAGAGCTTTGATTAGTGTCATGCTTCCTCGATGCTCCTTTTGATAGTCAGTCACTATCACGACCTCATGGTCATAGGTCGTTGTCAGGTCAAGAAACCCTGCAAGTATCGGGATCCGGTAAGTATGCCTGTGTACCAGAAGCTGTCGACCGGTGAAAATCTGATCGATGAACCCTCTTTCAGGTCTAGAACCTGGATGGTTTTCTCAATTTTTTTATTCCAGAGCATTTAGGCGTTGGATTCCACGGACTCCAGTATACTGGATACGATATTAGTCCGACTGCTTCTCTGATGATTGTCAAAGGAAAACTATTTTCCCTTCATTTCGACTGGAATGATCAGTGAACAAGAACAGTCTAACGTCACTATCTTGGACCCCCATATACTTTCTAGTACCTCTGTCACTTGGTTCAGCGACTTCCTACCTCCATTTTTTGAAATTTCATGTGGCTCACTGTCAGATCCAGCTGCTTTGCATCGTTGGAGGTTCCATACAGTCCTCTCAACTTAGAGAAGAGTCGGTAGTCCGACATCGACGTCCCATTCAGGTCTAGGCTGGATGTTGGTCAACTAAAGCCTTGCTGTAGGCCAGTTGAACGATGCTTCAAAGTGTTCTCCCAACGTTCTAGTCTACCTATCCTGAAAGCTTATCAGTGTACCATTCTTTTCAACGATGGTTTCACTAACCATCATCTTCTTGCTCAACGTTTTGCTTCCTGTATAAACATTGACAGTTTTTCATAGAAGTCATATTTTGCATCATCCGAACTGTAGTCATCGGGTGAGTAAGTGGAGATTGTGAACAGGCATCGGTTGACTTGACGACCCTTCCTAGTTTTTACAGACTCATTCAATTGAACAGCACGTTGACTAGTATTCAGTCGAAAACACACCTTCTGACCTGCAGCTCAATGCTGTGCCCACACCAGCGAGTTCAAGGAAGCTGGTCATTTGTTCTTTAGATAGTCGTAGGGTGGATTTTGAAGATTCCCCACACCGGGTGGATGAGATCAATTTAATAACTGCAATCCGATGGTGTTTGCATATCTCAGACAGGATATTTCTATGACTCGGTATTCCCGAGTTCTAGTTAGCAATGTTTGCTGTGCGATTTGGTTATAGAGTTCGGACGTTGAAACTCGTAACATGAAATCAATAGTGGGGTCTTAGGAGACTAGGAATGTGGTTTTGATCGTTGGCAACGGTCACAGAGTGGGAGGTTGAGGCAGTTGTAAGAGGTCTAATGATGGCATCAGGAGGTGAAGGCAAAAGAGGAGGTAGAGTTGGTTAGGGTAGGTTATGTTTGATTGGGTTTTGTATGCTACTGGGAGCGTACTGACTGTTAACGGTCCCCAGCTGCCTTCTTCTCGAAGTGCTTAAAAGAAAAGGGATAGTGTGTGACCGCAGAGTCCATGGGACAACTGCTTGGGATCGGTCACACGGCGTTTTTGCAAGTTCGAGATGTTGGTTGCTTGCTTTCGAATCCGATTATGAATCCCTATCACAGGCGCCAGAAGACTATGGGGCAGAAGGGAGTGTGCCTACCTTGGGGGTCGACGTTTTCTAGCCACTTCTTCCTACCGGGAAGTCAGCATCAGCTGGTTATCCAAGCGAAACATCTTAATGTTGTCACACGCGTGTCCAGTCAGCAGTACGACTTCGCCCTCGGACCTCCAATGTAGCGCAGCAATTTAGACTAATGGTAACTGCTTTTTGTCTAACCACTATCCGACAGACTTTTCTAGTATGGTAGGACCTCGAGGGGACAAGCGTCCCAGCCAGTGTAGCTTGTTCGGTTATTTTGATGTGCAAGCCTGACGATCGCAGCAAGGTAGTAGGTTCGGTCGGGATGATTCGGACGCAATAATGTAACTCATATAACTTTCACCGCTTTTGCAATGATGTGTTGCTGCTGTGATGCCCACCACTGTTTTGATTCTTAGTTGTATTTTTTTCATATACTTTTATGTTACTGTTATGCAGATTGCAGCTTCTCAAATACAGCTGTTGAACAAAGAAATACTCAAATCGACTACACGATGAACATGGACGTAACAATATGTGGGGAGAATGATGCATCATCTTATTAAACTTTCCCTCCGTTAGAGTCGTGAAGTTTTCACTGAGTTTTGTTACAGTTACTCATATTAAACTATAAATTTACAGCAAAATTTCAACTGTCTTGTGTTCTGCGCTGTTATTTGGAGGAAACTGTTCAAACTGGAAGACGCCTTATCCTGGATAACCAATTTCTGGAACTATTGGCAATCTCAGCGGTTATAAATTTTCACTATGCCAGCAAATTATCTATTCTCCCATAGTATTCAGAGTGTGATGTCATACGGATATCATGTTAGAGGTCGTTGGATCATCTTTGTTTCCGTGGTTGATTTCTTCTGTAGTGTCCCTCAGGTTAGCACAGTAGCTGTATTCAGGGAACGTCTATTGTTAGGACGAGATATGAAATTCAAGGTATGTTAAGGAAAGGAGCGAAGATACGTGCTGGAGGTTTAGCATGAGTTGGGAGAGAAGAGTTCTTGAAGAATATTTGTGGTGATACATCATCAGTCAGTCTAATAATAAAATCTGAAGTGACGATAAACAGTGATGTTTGGCGTTCCTACCTAGCCTTGGCATAGGCGTGCTTATGGATATAGCCTCAAACTTCTCAGGGATTGGCTTAATCCCAGGAGAGTATCTGGGTGACTTGGAGTAAGCAGTTGACATAGTCTTGTTGGGCGAAAACGATGGTAAAATGGGATACGAAACACTCGTTCAGTATTTACTAACCTACACCACTTTGTTGCGGCGAAAGATCTGATTACGCATTAATTTATTATTATTATTAGTCCCTTGGGTTCCTAGTGGAACATAGGGCTTCAGTAGCACGCCTCCAGTGACCTCTGTTCTCTGAGATCTTTTGAACCTGGTTCCACGACAGCCCAGAAGCTCTCATTTCCTCCTCGCACGACCTCCTCCATGTCACCCTCGGACGTCCAACTCGTCGCTTCCCATGGGGATTCCACTCGAGGGCCTGACGCGTGATGTCCTCAGTCGGCCTTCTCAGTGTATGCCCAATCCATCTCCACTTCTTCCTGCATATTTGTTGCGTGATAGGTTCTTGGTTGGTTCGTTCCCAGAGTTCCTTGTTGCTTATTTTTTCTGGCCATCTGATCTTCAGCAGCGAGCGTAAGCAGTTGTTGATGAATGTCTGTAGTTTATTGGAAATGCCTTTCGTGACGCGCCAAGTCTCTGAGCCATACAAGAGCACTGACTTGACGTTGGTGTTGAAAATCCGTATCTTGTTCCACATGCTGAGTGCAGAAGATCTCCACACTGGTTTCAGGCTAATGAACGCCTGTCTTGCTTTTCCGATTCTGACTTTGACGTCCTCGTCCGTCCCGCCTGTAGTTGAAACAGTGCTTCCTAGATAAGTGAAGGAGGTTACTTCCTTTAAGTTTCTCCCGTTGATGGTGATTGGAGTTTGTTGTTGTTGTTGATGGTGGTGGTGCGGTATCTTCATCACTTCTGTCTTCTCTATATTCACCTGAAGTCCCGTCTTAGCTGCCTCCTCTGTCAACTTGTTAGTTTTTGCCTGCAGATCTTCAAGTTTATGTGACATTAGGCATAAGTCATCGGCGAAATCCAAGTCTTCTAGGTTCTTTTCCGTCGTCCAGTGTATCCCCCTCTTCTCGCTGCCTACTGTTTGCTGCATGATCCAGTCCACCACAATTAGGAATATCATGGGGGATAGTAGGCAACCTTGTTTCACTCCTGTCTTCACTTCAAAGGCATCACTGAGCTTCCCATTGTGGATTACTTGGCATGTGGCATCTTCATATAGTTGTTGAATGAGGCGGATAAAGGTTTGCGGTACTCCGTAGTATTGAAGCAGTTTCCAAATTACTTCTCGGTCGACGCTGTCAAAGGCCTTCTCAAAGTCGATGAAGTTGAGGTATAGAGCTGATTGCCATTCTACGCTCTGTTCTATGATGATACGAAGCGTTGCAATTTGGTCAGCACATGATTTGTACTTCCTGAAGCCTGCCTGTTCCGGTCGCAGTTTTGAATCCAGTGCGTCTTTAAGCCTCTCCAGGATGATGCGGCTTAATATTTTACTTGGGGTGGATAGGAGAGTGATTCCTCGCCAGTTCTTGCAAGCACTGAGGTCTCCCTTCTTCGGCAGTTTGACAAGGTAACCATTCTTCCAATCGTCAGGTACCTTCTCTTCCCTCCACACCTTCTGCAATAGTGGTGTGAGCATGTCCGCTGTTGTCTCTGCATCTGTTCTCAGTGCTTCTGGCGGTATTCCATCTGGTCCTGCTGCTTTCCCGCATTTCAGTAGCTTTATGGCGTTCAGGACTTCCATTTTCGTTGGGGGATTTATGTTCACTTGTAATTCAGCGGCTGCAGGTGGTATTTCTGGACGAAGTGCAGGTGGTGGTCGATTCAAGAGCTTCTTGAAGTGGTCGGCCCATCGTTTCCTCTGTTTCTCTTCTTTTGTAATTAAATTTCCTTCTTCATCTTTTATTGGTTTCATCTGTGTTGGTCTCTTCCCTGATAGCAACCTGGTTATTTGATACAATGTCGTCAGGTCTCTCTTACCTGCAGCCTGTTCTGCTTCACTTGCCAGTGTGTCGTAGAAGTGTCGTTTGTCTTTGCGTGCACTCTTCTTCACTTCTTTATCCAGTGTTTTATACATTGTGCTCAGTTCCTCTTGTCGTTGAGCATCCTTGCACTGGTTTATCTTCTGCTTCACCATCCTCCTCTCCTCTATCAGCTTCCAGGTATCCGTCGAGATCCATTCCTTGTCTTCTTTCTTCTTCCTTCCTAATACTGTTGATTACGCATTAAATGAAGCCTAAACTGCTCTGTAGTCCACTTTCATGTTTTAATGACTTTAAGACCGTCGTTGAAAGCCGAATAAATGAAATTACTGCTTTCTGAACATAGCTTTTTGTAGCCCTGCTTGTTTATGGTGGTCTCGTGTGAGCAATGGCAAGGTTAGATTGAAGGTACTAAGCAATCAATGAGGTTGTGAAACTTCACTGGATGAGACAGCTTGGAAATGTGTTACACGTGCAGAGTCACCGCCTGCCTCTCTTTGCGGTGTTATCCGAAGTAAAATTGGGTTGGAAGAAGAAGGCTAAGGGCAACCAGATCAGGGTGTGGTATCAGTCCACAAGGTTCTTAACTTTCGGCATTACCCATGTAGGTTACCTGGGTGCGGTCGTCGAGAAGACAGGAATCAGTGACCGGAAACTTGGCGATGCGGTTCGAAATTGCGCACATGTGTACACCCTTTTCATATTCGAAGTCGTGAATGTTCCCGTTAACCTTCATGTACTTACTCTCTTTTTCATATACTTCATACTGCTTTAATGTCGTTTTTTCCCTTTATGGTTATTCTTTGCCTGTTACCTATGGATTGTGGGAACTTGAAGTGGCGTACTTTTGTACTAGGATCTACTTTGGTTTCTGTTTCTACAATGAATGTTAAAGGTGTTGTACAAAAAGGATTTGATGTTATTGTTTTTGGATGATCTGCACTTTTTCCGTCGTCGGTAAAGTAGTGGACAGTAGTTTATGTCAAACTACCATCAATATCTCTTCCACATCCGATGTTACAACGAAATGCTGTTTGCGGTTTCGCATTAGTATGTAAGGCGTTTGGAAACCATTAGCAGAGGGTCTTACTTTTCTCCACAGACTCGTATCTGCGGAACAACTTTGGCTACTGCGGCGGTGATATTGTTGACTGCAGCACTGAGTTGTGAGTCCAAATTTATTAAGATGCATCAGTCTTTTCAAGTTTTCAGACACGCCTGGCTGACGATTACCAGTAAGCGCGAAACGAGACTTTAAACCTTCCTTTTGATTGCTGTTAAGCACGTAGCATTAATCAAAGTTGACTGCTACACCAATTTTCATATTGTGAGTCAGGTCGATAGAATTCCATCGGCACGTAATTGAATAAAATGACACTGGTTTATCTTTAGTAACAAACCATTATAACTTAGTAGTATATCTACTAAATATTGTGGTATATAGGGCCTGCTTCAGATTATTTGAAATGCTATTGGGTTTAACTAGTATAATAGTATACAGACTTTTGCTTTGCAGGGTTAAAAAATAATAAGGTAAAATCTAGTGTGGATGATAATCAGGGTAAGGTTGTACTTTGGAAACTACAAAACCGTAGACTTCATCAGTGGTTCATTAAACTGATCCCATGCCATATTTTTCATAAATATCCCAAACTAGTGAGTTAATCTCTCGTGTATTCCAACAAACGTCTAGCTATAGTGCAGTAGTTTCTTATCAAAATAATGAGATGTCGGAATAGCCATCAATAAGGTATGTCACGTACGACAGTATCTACTGCTATAGGTCGAAACCCCTGGCGATAGAAAATGAACCACATCTATTGTGTGACGATAAGTGATACTAACTTTCTGCCCAAAACTAGGTAGACGGAGCACAGTTCAAACCTGTGACCCAGTTTTTCAATAAGTGAACGTCAACGAATTCACAACTGTAGGTCTTCAAACAGCACGTCGGTGAATCTGTTTCTACCTATCTAACATACAATTTACGTCTCATGTTACTCTTGCAGAAATCAGTTAGTCTTAAGAAACCCTACTTGACCAGCTCTTGGTTTGATATCAATAAATGTCCGACACATCACAGACTATCAGATAAGAACTTGACTTTTATTCAGGTCTTCAAAAGATGATTGAGTTCACGCACCATCCTAAGATATGTTGAATTTTTCAACCAATAACTACACTTGTTAGATGAAAAAATCTGATGTCGCCTCACAAGTACAGTTCAAGCGCTCTGCTTGTGGCGTTCATTTTAAACTTCCAACAGTAAGTGGTGCACAATCAGATTGTGGCCAGAGAAGTCATACGTTTTCGAAACTAGTTAGTTTATTTGATAGATTGTTTAAGGGGACGGTACCACGGACTTAATCACAACCATATTCCAAGAGTATTGATGTCTTCAGGAAAAAAGCAAAAGGTGATTACTTCGTAGAGCTACATCTTTTGCTTGCAGTCACCGAAGTGGCCTCAATTAGGGATGCACTTGTGCATCAGTAGAGGATAACAACTCGCATTTTAGCATTCACTTTTTAGGCATTTATGGCTGACTACTTTACTTGAGAAACCAGATTAGCACTGGTGGGTTTTTGACCGACGAAAGCACAGCACACAAAAGGCTTGATTGCCATCTTACGCAACCTAGGGTACCGGTGAGATATCTAATTGTCTACCAAGACTTGGGTGTTCGATGCACCAATTCACCCTAGGGCTGTAAAAATGGTCATTAATAGTGGAAGACTTAAAAAGACTGGATATTCCATCAATGGGGCGTGTCGCCAGACCACCGCCTCTCAATCAGAGCTAAGTTGTGGGTAATGAAGGTGAAAGGACGAGGTTGTAAACCTTCACTGACTCAAGCAGCTGGAGCATATGTTACTCAAGTCTAGCCAGAGTTTATACATCCTTTTCGGTGGCGATTTCACTAACCATTATCTACTTGTCAACATCCTTAGTAAGCCCAAATACTTCCCAGGTGTTACCCAAAGATGATGTATTCTGAATCTCTCTCGCTTTCGCCACTACTCGCAATAATTGTGAAAAATCTTGGTCAACTGATGTTTAATTTGCCACCACTCTTCATCTTGGTCAGAGCCAGTTAACTGAAATCAGTTTTCTCGCACCAATCAGATCAGGTTACGTCGCGGAAACTCAACGATGTTTGCTAACCACCGGGTATTGGTTACCAACTGTCTTTACCGGTGTTCCAACACCAGATCTAATATCATGCTAGGCTTCCGCAGGATGAGCATTGCTATCATAATGAGATGAATGCTTAGCTAACTCCTCTTTGAATGGGTACTTGGTGTCTTCATTATCAAATCGAGCAAGGATAAGTCTGACTGCCGTTTGTTTTCTGTGGCCAGCAAGGCGCAGACTTACACGAGTCCGAACTAGCACGTGGTTGAAATTCAAACTAGTACTCGAGAAAGAGCAGGAAGTCTCTAACGATGGCTGATACCAATATGATCTGCCTGTCCATCATAGATTTGAAACTGGTGGACGCCATGTGAGACAGTAGCTCTCCTTATACTTGAAGCTACAGCTGAACAGAAACAAATGATTATCAGAACAAAACTGCAGAAGACAATCATTGTTGTCCTCTCGTTGGCATGGGGTTCTGTAAATGCATTCAGGATGCTTTTTCGATTGGCTTAGCTTTCCTACTTGAGCGTTACTGTCAGTCACCTGCCCTTATGACTATATCTGAAGGTTTTGCTTTCTGTATAAACATTGACAGTTTTTCATAGAAGTCATATTTTGCATCATCCGAACTGTAGTCATCGGGTGAGTAAGTGGAGATTGTGAACAGGCATCGGTTGACTTGACGACCCTTCCTAGTTTTTACAGACTCATTCAATTGAACAGCACGTTGACTAGTATTCAGTCGAAAACACACCTTCTGACCTGCAGCTCAATGCTGTGCCCACACCAGCGAGTTCAAGGAAGCTGGTCATTTGTTCTTTAGATAGTCGTAGGGTGGATTTTGAAGATTCCCCACACCGGGTGGATGAGATCAATTTAATAACTGCAATCCGATGGTGTTTGCATATCTCAGACAGGATATTTCTATGACTCGGTATTCCCGAGTTCTAGTTAGCAATGTTTGCTGTGCGATTTGGTTATAGAGTTCGGACGTTGAAACTCGTAACATGAAATCAATAGTGGGGTCTTAGGAGACTAGGAATGTGGTTTTGATCGTTGGCAACGGTCACAGAGTGGGAGGTTGAGGCAGTTGTAAGAGGTCTAATGATGGCATCAGGAGGTGAAGGCAAAAGAGGAGGTAGAGTTGGTTAGGGTAGGTTATGTTTGATTGGGTTTTGTATGCTACTGGGAGCGTACTGACTGTTAACGGTCCCCAGCTGCCTTCTTCTCGAAGTGCTTAAAAGAAAAGGGATAGTGTGTGACCGCAGAGTCCATGGGACAACTGCTTGGGATCGGTCACACGGCGTTTTTGCAAGTTCGAGATGTTGGTTGCTTGCTTTCGAATCCGATTATGAATCCCTATCACAGGCGCCAGAAGACTATGGGGCAGAAGGGAGTGTGCCTACCTTGGGGGTCGACGTTTTCTAGCCACTTCTTCCTACCGGGAAGTCAGCATCAGCTGGTTATCCAAGCGAAACATCTTAATGTTGTCACACGCGTGTCCAGTCAGCAGTACGACTTCGCCCTCGGACCTCCAATGTAGCGCAGCAATTTAGACTAATGGTAACTGCTTTTTGTCTAACCACTATCCGACAGACTTTTCTAGTATGGTAGGACCTCGAGGGGACAAGCGTCCCAGCCAGTGTAGCTTGTTCGGTTATTTTGATGTGCAAGCCTGACGATCGCAGCAAGGCAGTGGCTCTCAGTCCTCTAGAGGTCATTATACAAGACTGTTCAATCAATGCATATGATAGTCTTAAAATTACCAATTATTTTACTGGTAGCGTTTAGAATATTGGATTTTATCACATACTTTTGGTTTCAGAAATCTCGTGAGAATCTGATCAGTGTTGATCAGATATTGTCTGGTGATTGATGCTATAGTGAACTATCTATATGCTCTTCGTCGGATACTTGAGCACTGTCACACCTATTGGCAGCCATGAATTGCTCTGTTTCTCGATACGACGGCTGACTTCGATTGGTGGGACGGTGCTGATTTTTTAATCATCCAATGAAGTTTTAGAACTGAAAGAGGGTTCATCGATCAGATTTTCACCGGTCGACAGCTTCTGGTACACAGGCATACTTACCGGATCCCGATACTTGCAGGGTTTCTTGACCTGACAACGACCTATGACCATGAGGTCGTGATAGTGACTGACTATCAAAAGGAGCATCGAGGAAGCATGGCACTAATCAAAGCTCTCAAACTCATGCAGCCGTATAACGGCTTAAGGAGAATTGTCATCTGAAGTGATGACAATTACTGGTGTCCGCCAGTAATGTTCACCGTCACCGTTCCTGTTTAATTTCATTACAGAAGTACTGATCGACTCTAACTTTACAGGGTAACGATTGGTCTACTTTCTGGAGGTTATCTGGTTGCCTTAGAGTAGACAGATGACACTGTCCTGTTGGATGAAGACGCCGACAAAGCGCAGGATCTTCTGAATGCCTTGAGCAGGAATCTGTGTACGTTGGACACGCGTTTCACACCTGTCAAATGTACAATGATGCTCCAAGACTTGTCTTCGGCTACTCCCAGTTTAATGATATGGGAGTGAAGTGGGGGAATGCATCGACCACTTCACTTACTTGAAGAGTTGCATCAGCCCGGACGGGCTAACGAAATCTCAGTTGGGGTACAGAAGGCCCGTTAGGCATTGATCAACTCGTACCACCGCAAGATAATCGGTTTTTCACTCAAACATCGAAAAGAAAAGTAGCGCTAGCATTAGACGATTTCAAGTTACAGAATAACACTCATAAAGAAGGTTCTACATTTTATTTTACGCACAGTGCTTCTAGCAATGGTATGCGGTCTGTCTTCATTTTCTGGGCGGTTTTCTGGGTCTTCTTCCATGACCATAATGGAGCTCTGTATCGTCCGTTAAAGAGATGATCTGCATTCCAGAGATATTGAGACCCGAAAGTACGGCCTAGGGAGTTATTTAAAATTCACCGAATCCTTACCAGTTTAGATTTAGTTTGACCAGAGATAACGATTCGTATAGCACTGATTCCAAGCTTCTTTGCCTTCAGTCCTATTGAAATACCAACAGTTTGAACAGCGACAGTCGATTTCTTGCGGGCATTGTGGAAACCTTCAGCGCCACAACTCGTACTATCTAGAACTCTCCCATTGCAGTCAGTTAATGTTGCAACTAAATTATTCTTTCGCATAGACAAGTGAAGGATGGGAGTTTCGTAATACTGTTTATTTTCTACTACTGAAGTTAAACAGTCTTCTGTTACTATGTTATGTCCCACACTGTTTTCAATTATGGTGAGATACAATAATTACATATTTAGTCCTGGAGAACTCTCGGCTGCATCTTTCAAAGTCTTTTGTTTTTCAACAAGATCTGGTATAATTGTGCTGTTGAATATCACCTGACTGTGCGCGGGGTAAAATACAGTCCGAAAGAGATCTGTAAATGAAAATAAATTAGAACTTACTAAGAACGCCTTTTGTAGATATCATCGCCTGAAAATAAAGATAACAAGAGTGTTACGTTGCAAGACATTCGTAAACATAGGTGCTCAGATTATGGAGCCTTCACAGTAGGGATCATTAGTCACTACGTCAGATTTCGCTTCATTATCATCACAGCAGCAATGTTTCCTTAAGGGTGACTCGCTTTTGTGGTGCACGGAATAAGCTGCATTTCAAATAGCGCTGTCGACGCTTTTATGACACAAAAAACCAAAAACAAGATCACTTCAGATTTCAGATGAGCATTAAAGTCATCAACAATAAATACCACATTACGAGACGTCTGAGGAGAGAACTGAACTGCTTGCTACCTAGGATAAAATGCTAACACATATAAATTTATTCAGTTCTGAAAACATGCAATGGCTAGTGAAAATATTTCTTGTCATCGCAAATGGCATGATGTATGTGGGTAACGCATTAACAAGCCCATTGTAGACGGGAAATCTTAGGAATGCATGTTACTTGTCTCCATTGCTTTCGTTTTTATGAGAAAACGTCAATGCATGAAGGTGGCTCAAAATAATCGTAGTCAATTACCTTTGACAGATATATCGATACTGAAACTATTAAACAGGAAGCTTTACGGAAAATTTGGTTATACGAATAGTTTACAATACTAAAAAAAATCGAGTTTGACAATTTACACCATGTGACTGCGCATGTCTGCTGCAAGTGGAACTTAAACTGTGAATCTAAAACATTTTTGCGATGAGATTGGAAAATATATTTGCCAACGTGTGATTTATTTTCTTAGTATGAGGCAGCGTACAAACTACCAGACATTTAATTCGACAAATACCATAACCTTAGTGAATAGATACGAGAATGTGTTAAAGTTTACCTATATCATGAGCAAAATTTATTTCACGTGCACAAGTTTCTGTTCAACTAAGAACATTTAATGATGGTTTAACGTAAACATCCAGTTACAGCGGCTACAGTCATCAATAATAACTGTCAATTACCGAGCAGTAAACACACTTACTGCTCGATATGAGTCCACGGACACATTTAAGCACAGATGGCTTTTTCGCGTATTTCGCTACAAAACACACACTCCTGTTAAGCGAAGAGATTTTATACAAGGGCTAGTAGATAAAGTTCAAGAATATAAGCTATAGCGTATATCAGTATACTGATGGTGCACATTAACAACACATTCATGTCCTAAGGAGTAATCATGTACTTGCACAATAACCAAAATATGGAGATTGCGCACTTAATATAGGCATTATGGTAGCATAAAATAAATCGAAATTACTGAAAACCACTCAAGATATGCAGAGCTTAACTTTCGTGCACGAAACTATAGCATATGGTATAGAAATAGCGAAAGGTTTTTCCTCAGTTTCCAAGCATTTGTCAAGTCATCGAGTGACATACATGCTACTCATGTGAGTAACTAAACAGTGGTGATCAAGATAGTCACCGATTTGAGTAAGCGTTTAGTAAACAGAATAATATACAACCACAGCCCGATCAAATCAAAACCTCTGCATTTTCGAATAAGAATTACTGCCTTCCAATACTTTAATGGACATTTGTAAAATTTTGATGTTAAAACCTAGAAGATATCTATGAAATGAACCCTCCGTACAGTGTACAGCAAAACAGGTGACAAGGACGAAACGTTACGATTTAAGTAACGCCAGTTTTGTACAAACAGTTCAAATGGTTGTTGACGAAATAGGAGCTTTCGCTTAACTGCCTTCCGCGTCTACAATCCATGGATCACTACTTCTTATGGCAGTTAAGATGTTAAAGTTCAATTAGTTCTGGGTAGATCTCAGCCACATGTCAAGTAGGTATCCAGTAGGCGTTTAAAGGATTCAGACAAATTAGCCTAGATCACACCTGCGGGAAGAACCTTCCAGGGTTTAAAAACTCTTAGGGAATAGAATTCGTGACTAATATCTAGCCCGTTATGTTCCAGGCTTAGTTTGTATGTTCTAAGATTAGTGCCACAGCTAAGATTTAATAAGTGACGGAGTGGTTAGTTTGACCAGAGATAACGATTCGTATAGCACTGATTCCAAGCTTCTTTGCCTTCAGTCCTATTGAAATACCAACAGTTTGAACAGCGACAGTCGATTTCTTGCGGGCATTGTGGAAACCTTCAGCGCCACAACTCGTACTATCTAGAACTCTCCCATTGCAGTCAGTTAATGTTGCAACTAAATTATTCTTTCGCATAGACAAGTGAAGGATGGGAGTTTCGTAATACTGTTTATTTTCTACTACTGAAGTTAAACAGTCTTCTGTTACTATGTTATGTCCCACACTGTTTTCAATTATGGTGAGATACAATAATTACATATTTAGTCCTGGAGAACTCTCGGCTGCATCTTTCAAAGTCTTTTGTTTTTCAACAAGATCTGGTATAATTGTGCTGTTGAATATCACCTGACTGTGCGCGGGGTAAAATACAGTCCGAAAGAGATCTGTAAATGAAAATAAATTAGAACTTACTAAGAACGCCTTTTGTAGATATCATCGCCTGAAAATAAAGATAACAAGAGTGTTACGTTGCAAGACATTCGTAAACATAGGTGCTCAGATTATGGAGCCTTCACAGTAGGGATCATTAGTCACTACGTCAGATTTCGCTTCATTATCATCACAGCAGCACGGACGGCTTATGAAATGTCTGGTTTGTTTAACATTTACAGTTAATGTTTTAAAATAAAGAATGTTCTTATGGAAAAGTAAAATCACTTATTGAACCGTGTTGTGAGACTTTGATTCAACACTAACTTTCAGTAAACAAATAACAGCGGTCTTTCTGTACTTTTTGATTTGAGACCATACTTTTTTTCTAATTAAGAAGGAATGCGTGTAACCAAGCTGTACTGACCACACACATGCTGAATTGCTCTGAAACAATGTCATAGCTACCACAAGCCAGTATTCTTCCCAGCTTATTAAGGTGGTTGGATAAGTGGTGAGTTATCTCGTACTCATGTTTTGGGATTCATGAAACTAGATGTGGTTCTTCCACCTCCTTACAACTTCACGACCAGTTTTCTGTGACATGATCACTAATCAGTGTGATGACTTAGCAGTAGCGACCCAAAACAAAAAGACTGGTTAAAGAATACTACTGGTTCAAAGTAACATCGAGAATGACCTTAACGCTTCTTGACTTTAAGCGTTTGTCGCAGTCGTATAAAAGTGACTATGATGATCAGCACGTATCACGTAAAAATCTTAAGCAATGTTTCCTTAAGGGTGACTCGCTTTTGTGGTGCACGGAATAAGCTGCATTTCAAATAGCGCTGTCGACGCTTTTATGACACAAAAAACCAAAAACAAGATCACTTCAGATTTCAGATGAGCATTAAAGTCATCAACAATAAATACCACATTACGAGACGTCTGAGGAGAGAACTGAACTGCTTGCTACCTAGGATAAAATGCTAACACATATAAATTTATTCAGTTCTGAAAACATGCAATGGCTAGTGAAAATATTTCTTGTCATCGCAAATGGCATGATGTATGTGGGTAACGCATTAACAAGCCCATTGTAGACGGGAAATCTTAGGAATGCATGTTACTTGTCTCCATTGCTTTCGTTTTTATGAGAAAACGTCAATGCATGAAGGTGGCTCAAAATAATCGTAGTCAATTACCTTTGACAGATATATCGATACTGAAACTATTAAACAGGAAGCTTTACGGAAAATTTGGTTATACGAATAGTTTACAATACTAAAAAAAATCGAGTTTGACAATTTACACCATGTGACTGCGCATGTCTGCTGCAAGTGGAACTTAAACTGTGAATCTAAAACATTTTTGCGATGAGATTGGAAAATATATTTGCCAACGTGTGATTTATTTTCTTAGTATGAGGCAGCGTACAAACTACCAGACATTTAATTCGACAAATACCATAACCTTAGTGAATAGATACGAGAATGTGTTAAAGTTTACCTATATCATGAGCAAAATTTATTTCACGTGCACAAGTTTCTGTTCAACTAAGAACATTTAATGATGGTTTAACGTAAACATCCAGTTACAGCGGCTACAGTCATCAATAATAACTGTCAATTACCGAGCAGTAAACACACTTACTGCTCGATATGAGTCCACGGACACATTTAAGCACAGATGGCTTTTTCGCGTATTTCGCTACAAAACACACACTCCTGTTAAGCGAAGAGATTTTATACAAGGGCTAGTAGATAAAGTTCAAGAATATAAGCTATAGCGTATATCAGTATACTGATGGTGCACATTAACAACACATTCATGTCCTAAGGAGTAATCATGTACTTGCACAATAACCAAAATATGGAGATTGCGCACTTAATATAGGCATTATGGTAGCATAAAATAAATCGAAATTACTGAAAACCACTCAAGATATGCAGAGCTTAACTTTCGTGCACGAAACTATAGCATATGGTATAGAAATAGCGAAAGGTTTTTCCTCAGTTTCCAAGCATTTGTCAAGTCATCGAGTGACATACATGCTACTCATGTGAGTAACTAAACAGTGGTGATCAAGATAGTCACCGATTTGAGTAAGCGTTTAGTAAACAGAATAATATACAACCACAGCCCGATCAAATCAAAACCTCTGCATTTTCGAATAAGAATTACTGCCTTCCAATACTTTAATGGACATTTGTAAAATTTTGATGTTAAAACCTAGAAGATATCTATGAAATGAACCCTCCGTACAGTGTACAGCAAAACAGGTGACAAGGACGAAACGTTACGATTTAAGTAACGCCAGTTTTGTACAAACAGTTCAAATGGTTGTTGACGAAATAGGAGCTTTCGCTCAACTGCCTTCCGCGTCTACAATCCATGGATCACTACTTCTTATGGCAGTTAAGATGTTAAAGTTCAATTAGTTCTGGGTAGATCTCAGCCACATGTCAAGTAGGTATCCAGTAGGCGTTTAAAGGATTCAGACAAATTGCCTAGATCACACCTGCGGGAAGAACCTTCCAGGGTTTAAAAACTCTTAGGGAATAGAATTCGTGACTAATATCTAGCCCGTTATGTTCCAGGCTTAGTTTCTGTATGTCTTCTAAGATTAGTGCCACAGCTAAGATTTAATAAGTGACGGAGTGGGTGGCCAGGCGTGGTCAGAATGTTGTGAGTCATTAGGTCCCCTCTTACCCTTCTGTATTCTGGAGGATACAGATCCAATGAAACCAGTCGTTCTGCGTATGTTTTAGACCTAAGTCCTCGAACAGATTCTGTTGAGCGCCTCTGGGTGCGTTTTAAGCCTAATTGTCCTTCTGGGGAGAAGGGGGGGAAGGCGATGATCTTGGACTCCAGGTAAGGTCGTATGAAGCTGTTGAAAGTATGGTGGAAGCATCTACGATCAAATTGTCCCAAAGTTCGTCCAAGAGTAAGTAAATAGCTGTCTTCAGGGAATGTTTAAACATAAGGGATTCAATGTCTTGGTTTCAGCTTTCTGTGATCAGGAGGATAGGCCAGTTAGTCTGTAGCGATCCTTGCAGAAGATATCTCTATGAAGATTAAGTTTCTCCTTAAACGCGTTGGCCAAATGTGCTGAGGCAAACAGCTCCGGAAGTTTACTACATAACATGAGAAAAGCAGATTCAAGTTAAGTTAATCCGATCGCACCTTTTTATGATTCTGTCGGAGATAATAAATCCCAGGGGAGAGAAAAGATGGAACTTTTCAGTACTAGAACCATTATTAAGGGTACGGAAGTACCTCATTTCCTACGGTGAGACAGCAAGAATAAGTTCAGCTGATCTATCGCTCCTCATGGGGAAGATTTGGAACACCTGCCAAAAACTTAGTACTTGCCTTTTGAACGCGCTGAGACGCGTAAGCCCTATTCTAGACATGGACTAGCCACGCAAATGCAGCATTCTAAGTGAGGTCTAATGGAAGTAGAATAGAGCATCCTGAGCAAATCCTGATCCAGACTTTTAAAAGCTCTGTGGATGGACCATGGTTCATGCAACCTTTTTGTCGCAGCTGCATCACATTGTACTGAAGTTCACAGATCATGATTTATAGTGACACCTAGTTCTTTCAGTTCAACTACTGAGAGTAGTGGTGTACCATCAACAGAGTACCGAAACAATTACTACGACCAGCATGCATTATCGCAACTCTGCTGGAGTCGGTTTCCAGGCCCTATCGTTTGGACCAGCATCCCAGTCCATCCGAATCCGCCTGAATTGCTTACCTATCAGCACCGACGAACAGCAGCACCTCGGAGCTGGGAACTGCGTTAATTCACTGTCACGCTATATGAAGAGGGTGGGACCTGGGATTTTTCCCCGGGGAACTCTATCCATTACAGGTCCGCACCCGGACAGTACCCATTAACCCCCACCCCCTGCCTTCTGTTATGCAGACGGTCCCTAATTCAGGCTTGCAATGCATCACCTACTCCGACAGTGGAGAGCCTTCCCAGTAATTTCTCATGAGCTACTCTATCGAATTTCCCACTGAAGTCTATAAATATGGCATTTATTGGCAGCGTAAGATCACGGTCTGCAATCCATTCCTCTCTCATGCTGAGGGGGCTTACTAAACCGAAGTGTCAGACACTAAAACCGTTCAGCTGAGGTGCCGAAAGGTCATTCGTGCCAACACGGCCAAGTGACTTATCA